TCCCCACTCAGAGGCACAGCACCGGCGACAGCGCCTTATGCCAAAGGAAGTGTTGGTATAAAACAAGTTCGCTCCCAAAACTAAACCCAAAGCCACCAGGAGGGGAAAAAACCAACAGCAAGGCAGCCAGCCCCCAGCAATTGTTTCACGGTCGGAATTAAATCACATCAAAACGCCCCCTGAAACCCACATCCTGAAGGGGAGTAAACCTACTACAGCCAACCTCCAGTGGTTCGCTAGAGTTCACACGAACAACCTGCCTCTGCATCCCAGGAAAGGGGGCGGCGGGGCTGCTGCTGCACCGCACCCATCACATCCCAGATCTGGGATCCCACTCGCCTGACCCCAAGAAGCGAAGAAGCCGCTGCTTATGCTAATAACAGCCCCACAGGAATTAGGATAGACTGCTAGGCGGCTGGAATGCCTTTGCCAGGAAGGCGAAGTCCAGAGACACCACTTCCTGGGGTTACTTCGCCCCTCCTTTATCTCCTTGCTTTTCTCTCTTAAAGACTTGACCAAGGCAAAGTCACCTTCCTTTACCGACCACGCTTTAAAACATGTGAACACATGGTTTTAAGAGTGGCCTTAGTTAAGATTTGCAACACTGCTAAAGACAAGCACACCGGGGAGACCACTCACCGCCACGCGTATAGAGCGAGGCCATTAGGTGATTTCGTTAGAACCAATGTTTCCAAGGAGGGTTACAGCAAGGTACCAAACGCAGCCACCTATCCCAGTTTTTTTTGTAAACCGTTCTCACTAGGTGTTGAGCCAAAATTTCCCATCTTCTTGAGCTCCTAATCTCCGGGACACCTGGAGCTGAGCTCTATATGACTCACAGAGTCCAGATAATTAACGCGAAGGAGAAAATGGGAATTCGAATTAGTTGCAACACTTAAACAGGGAAGATGTAGAGTCTTCATTTAATCTCCTCTTGGCTTTCAAAAAATACCCTCTGGCCATTCTTCTTGCCCCCTCCCCCTCTGGGTTTGATGAAAAGGACCGATCTACTCCGGCTGCTTTGATGAAACTGCATCTTCCAGGGTTCTTTTGCTCAGTCCAATTGGCGCACTCAGAGGAGGAATTCTGACTTTGTTAAATTTTATGTAGCAGGAGCTGTAGATGTCTAAAACTGTGTCCCCCTCTCCTCGTTTACCACACTAACAGCAATGGAGGTTGCATGCCATCACTATAAAAAATGGATCCATTTCCAACCCTCATTACTATTCTCCCTGACACCCTGAAGTAAAATGCCATTTTTGGTTTTCTTATATGTAAGGCATAGCTTTATCGATTATTTAGTTTTAAAAAAAGTTTTCGTTTTTCTGGCTTCTTTCACCAGCCTCTTAATTGTTCCCAAATCTATCAGTTTACATACGACAGACTGGGACATATTACCTATTAATTACTTATTACCCATGGGACCAACTGAATTGATATAATATAGATATATAGCTTTAAAAACTATTTCCTAGCAAGCTCCCAGACTGGTAGTTATCAGAAAGCAAAGCTTTAAATGCTTAGTTAACTGTTAAAGTCTACAATGTCCAATAGCCCACAATTTCAGCTTTAAAAGAGATCTTTGCTTGAGCGGTCTTATGTAATGGCACTAACATATACTTCTGTGTTCTATTTTCAACTCAAGGAAGATGGAGATACAGTTCTTCCCGTCTCCTGTTTACTGTTCCCAGGTTTTACAGATGGCTACCGCATTGGTGTAATCATTTTGCCCGAATATTTGACTGAGGGGAGGGGTTGAGAACTAAAGGACAAAATGTAATGTTTCCCAACTTAAGACTCACTTACACAGTAACTTTCACAAAGCGTCTCCCTCAAAAGTCCTATCCTTTTGCAAAATGCATCAAAGAGACCGTGGAAAGTGGGGAATTTTTGAGGTTGGATTCGGATTTACATCGTCAAGGGTCCCTTTCAGCGTTGTTGTCCAGGATGTCAGCAATCGCGCAGTCATGTCTCCCTTTTCTAGGTCCTTCTTTCCCCTCGTTTTGGGATGTATTTTCATTTTCTGCGAGGTCTCTAACACACTGAGTCTTGCTTAGCCGAAAACCCACGTCCATCCGGTGGTAAGGACACAATGAAAGCGATAGTGTTTTAAAAGCGATAATTAAGGTCCAGTCTTCAGTCGCTCCCTTCTTCCTGGTCCTTTCGCCCTGGCAAGCCTGGAGATTGTATTTTCCCTTGTCTCCGAAGAGCGTATGATATTATACACACACTACACAGCCACAACTCTTTTTTTTTGTGCTTGTTGCGTCTCTTCTCTGGCTAGGTGAGCAATGAGTTGCATTTTCTCCTTTTCCTTCTCCTAGTCCCTAATTCTCGCCTCATTCCCTCTGTCAGAGCATCTATCAACGTGGTGTCGACCACAGCGCCGGCGGCTTTCTCTTTCATCTTCCTCCCCTTGCCTGAGTGAGGGGGCTAGAGTGGGCGGCGGAAAGGAGGTGGGAGAGAGGCTGGCTAAGGGCATGAGTCGGGGTGGGGGGGCAAGAGAAAGAAGAGATGCTTAGATGATGAAGTTAAGCCACTCAGGTAGAGTTTCTTGTCAATTTCACCTGGGCAACAGCGTGCTTTGGGTGGGTTACAAGCAGCACCCGGTCCTTCTCCAGGTTGCATTTTTCTTTTCTCTCTAGGCATGCACCCGAGTACGCGCGCGCGCGCGCACACACACACACACACGCACCCACCCCCACTGCGCCCCCAAAACTATGACTAGTCCTCTAGGTGCTGGGAAATGTACTAGAGCTGGGGAAGAACCTGGATCTCCTCCTCCTCCTTCTCCTCCCCCTCCTCCTAGCCGACTCCCTCCTCCCCACCCCTCCAGCCAGCAGCCAAGGAGAGCAGGAGGCGGGGGAGGGGCGGGGGAGGAGAAGCGACGCAAGTGAATAGCTTTGCAGCGCCGGCTAGGCGCGGCGAGGAGAAGCGGTGGGAAGGCGCAACCGCTCACCTGCTGGCCAGCGCGCACCAGAGGGACCCGGCTGCGCTCCTGTGGGCCCTGGCATCCGGACTCACCCGGAGCCTTGCAAGCGACCCCGCTGCGGGTATTCCCCGCCTAGCGGCCTGGAGGAGCCGAGGGGCCACCGGCAGCTCTTTGCTTTGACAGAGGGGAGGCGGGGAAAGAGGCGAGTAACAACGCCAGCGAGCCAGGCAGAAACTCGAGCCGGGAACAAAGAGGGATCGGGCTCGTGTGTGTGCGTGTGAGAGTGGTGTGTGTGTGCGTGTGCGTGTGTGTGTGTGTCGGCCCAAGCTGAGGGCTGGAACATTTGGGCCCGAGGCTCCTGCTGTGACTCCCCAAGACTCCGCCGTGCCAGCCACTGTCGATTCCCAGGGCTCATCAGCACAAACTTTATTCTTGGCAAACTTCTCTTTTTCTCCCCTCCTCCTCCGTCCCCCCTCCCCCCAGCAGATTAAATGCTCCTCCAGAAGGAAAACCGAAGCGAAAGGGAAGGAAAGAAGCTCCAAAAGAGAAGTCTGCAGCCCGGGTGGCTCTTTATTGTTTACCCATCAGGAAGTGGACTTTTCGGTATTTTCTGATTCTCCTCGCACCTCTGCTGGGGCAAACGGAGCCTTTTGGCCCAGCTCTCAGCTTCTCGAAAAAAACAACTCC